GAGATTAGAAAATTGAGAGAGAATTGAGAGAAAATTGAGAGCAATTCTGAAAATGAGAGTGAATTATGAGGATTATTCTTGTAAGGTTTGGAGTGAATCAAATATATACACTCTTGGTTTGGATCCAAAGCAAGGATTGGAAAATGGCTTAGAAAATGTGGTATGGAATGAGGTTTGGGTATTTGGAGGGAAAATGAAATTTGATAGTGTTCTAGATCCTTCCCAAGTGTGAAAATGCAATTTAAATGACCAAAATTGGACCCCAAAAGTGGCTGGACTTGAAAATTCACGTGCAAGGCAAAACCTGCTGTGGTTAATCGATTAACCATATAGGTTAACCGATTAACACTGTTAAAAATTCAAATCTAGACTGATTTTCAAATGGTTAATCGATTAACCCTATGTGTTAACCGATTAACACATTCAAAAATTTGAATTTGGCGCCTTTTGGAGGGAAATCTGCCCCTTTGCCCGTTTCCTGCCGTTCTGAACTCTGTTTAGCTGCTGAGAGCCATTCTTGATTGCTCTGACCCTGGGAACACTGTACATAACCTGAATGCTGCTTCTGACATGAAAAATGCCCTGCAAAATAAAATAAAATCGGTCGCGTGATCGCTGGGCAAAACAAGTGTTGAAGCCTCTGATGTTTGTTGTTTTAGCCTCTTGCACTGAAAGTTGCACCTGGAGCCACCTGAATGCCTTGATCCCCTGCCTCGAGAATAAATGCTATGCAATGCAAATGCTAGAACAATGCAAATGAAACATAAACTAAGCAAAAGAAAAGGTTGAGCAAATTTTGGGGTGCAACAGAAAGAAACAAAGCAAGGCTTATTGCTCAAGGTTATAGCCAGCAAGAAGGAATTGATTACACAAAGACTTATGCTCCTGTGGCCAGGTTAGAGTCTATTCGTTTACTCATTTCTTTTGCTGCACAAAATAACTGTCATACCCCAAATTTGTCCTACCCGTTTCAAATTTTTCTCCGCCCGGTTTTATTTTTTCAATTCGCATCGCTTTTACGGCGTAACGTTTTTTTCGGCAAAAATAAACTCTTTCACCTTTTTAGCCCAATAAATTTGCGCCACATGACATCTTTTTATTTATTATTATTTATGTTTTAACATTTTAATATTAATTGATTAATTAGTTTAATGGGAAAGAATTATAATTATTTATTTATTTATTTGTTTTTAGAATAGAACTTTTTAATTAGGAATAGGATTTGACTTTTTTTTTAATTATTAATTAAATTAGAATTAGTTTTTTTATTTGATTAAAATTAGTTAACATAGAAAATAGGTTTATTATTCAGAAAAAATTTAAAAAAAATTTAGAAAAAAGAAAAATTGAGGACACGGATGAACTGGGTATTTAAATAGGGAACCCTACTATTCATGGGATCCCCAACTCTGAAGGGTAACCCTAGCCGCAAATGCCATCGCCCTAAACCTTCACTTCACCTACAATCATCTCCCCTAACAAACAAACCCATTATCTACCGCCGACACCTTCTCCACCTTCCTCTCCGCCGTTTTCTCAGAAGCTTTTCTCATCTCCCTTCACCGGAGATCTTCTCCATCAAACCCATCACAAAACCGCCATTCATTAACCTTCACCACCTTCTTTTTTCTCCCAAAATTGCGAAATACGAACAACCAACATCTTCCAGTATCTGCACCACATATGACAAGAATAAGAGCCACCAAAATAACTCGTCTCCACACACTCTCGTCAATCTCCGGTACCAAAGATCTTAAAATGGTTAACCTGACTCTCAAAGTCCTCTCTCTCGTCCCGACACCGGAAAATCTCCCTGTCATGGTTCAAAATCTCGGTCTCAAATACGACGAGAAAGTTCTCCCTTTGAGTGGTTTCTACGCTTGCCAGGGAGACTCTTGTCCAACGTGCTAGGGACTTTAACATCCTTTTTGACGACAGAGCGATCACACATTTATTATATGGTACTGAAGGTTCGCGTGTTGTTGAGCAGAAGCAGGTTGCTCAACAAGAAGTCGAGAGATCGAAATTTGTTGTCAAGATGGCTGTGGGTAGGAGCGTCGTGCTGCAATCATTCATGCCGAAGGAAAGAGCTGTTGCAGTGAAAGCCTTGCCGTTAACTCATCGCTTTCCAATCAGGTTGTTGTTGGTTTCGTTCGAGAGAAGATAAACTCACCGCAACAACGGTTGTGAGCAGCAACAAACACAACTTTGATTTGAGACAACAACTCTTAATATTGGCAATAGTTTTAATTTGTAGTAGACTCAAGTCAGCAACACGGCGATGCGTCAAAGTCTCTAAAGTCGTAACGGTTTAAACAACACAAACAACACTACAACAACAGAAGTTCTATGTTCACAGGGCATTTTGTCACTCTTCCGCCGACGGAAACGACATACCTTCAACTCAACTCGATTATTATGAATTTCTTTTTTCACGGTGTCTATTCTCTATTTTGGTGTGGGCTATTGATTTTATGCAGATTATGAGAAGGAAGGAGATCAAGTTCGACCATGGAGACCTAACTTCGCACAAAGTCGTGGAAGGGTAGAGCCTCCTCATTCCCAAAGCACACCACCAAACGAGCAGGCCTCTATATTTTCTTATGACCATGGTCGTGGGGAGAATACACCCCGCCAGTCTATAGTCCTGGATTAGGCCGTGGTGGTAGGTCTTTGAATAGCACATATACTGGAACTGCATTCGACAAAGTCGAAAGTGAACATGAAGAACCTTTCAGATATAACAGGACAAAATTGCTTGATATATTTAGAGTGACTAATATGGGTGGAAACAGAAATCTTGTTGATGATTTTGTGCAGGTTCCAAGTCTTACACACGATGAATCATTGGAGCCTCTTGCTCTTACTACACCAAATTCTGAGGAACGGACTGTCTTAAATGGCATTGGAAAAAAGGAAACAATAAAGACCTTCAGCTTGCACACAATCACCAACAACACAACAAGTTCCGCGATAACAACATACAACAATTGAAATCAAATTTCGTCGTGGTTTTGGATCTGTTAGGAACACATTTGTGAGATGATAACTGGTTTGAGCTGAATATTTGTAAGGACAATCTTATTCCAATGCAGTAACATAACGATGGTTAAAGTCGTATTTCTAACTTAACCATGTTTTCTTAGTTTTCGACTTCTGTGAGTTCTGTTTGGGTTGCTATCCATTACTGTGCAGGTTGGAAGTTGATTCAAGACTTGGCTCTGATTTGGTCTTGACGTGACACCCTCGAAACCCATTTGTTGGAGCATATTTACATCTATAAGTGATAATGCCAAGTTAGCTCTTTAGCAACCACATCTGCAATAACAACAACAAGCATCATCGCGACAACATAAGAGAATGGTGTGCCTTCCGGTTCCTCACTATTTCACAGCAACATCGGCAATGATTTCGTCCTGGTTTGATTCAACACCACAACAATAAGGATTCTACACTCACAGCGCACGCATTAGTTGACTGCAACAACAATTTCAAACGCACCTTCAGCTCAACTTTATTTTCGTGAATTTTGTTTTTATTGATTCTGTTTTCATTTATTATTATTTCTCTAAAAGCTGTTATCCTATTTGGGCTGGCTGTTGGTTTTATGCAGGTTGCGACATTTGCCAAGTTTCGTCACACGTCGACTACACAACCGTAACTGGATTCTCGCAACTTGCAGCTGCCGCCATTCACCGACAACGCCACACCTCAGTTTGCAGCAACGGCAAAACAATAGTCTCAGTTCAGACGACTCCAAAAGCGGCAATGTAATAACGATGTAGCTAAGGGCTACATCCTCCTTTGAGAGTTTGAATTCGAAGTATCGGTTTGAGGAGAGAAGAGAGGGCGTGTTGGTTTGACGTCACGATGGCGACTCTGTCTCGAGTCAAATGAAAATATGATGTCACGATCGTCTCCAGCTCTACAACAACGTGAGCTAAAACACGCACGGCGTCGACTCATATCACAAGCTCGTAACAACAACACAACAACCAGGAAGCAGGTACATTCATATTCTGCTAAGTGCAAGACTAAGGCAAAGTGGAGCTCAGGATTACCTTGGCCACGAGGTGAAGTCAAATTGTTCACACAATGACAATGTTGAGGCAACACGAGCCATTAACCACGCACCGCCATCTGCAACCATAAGTGGTGAAGTTGTTCTTCAAAGTGGTGATAACAACAATGATCCCGATAGCTCAGTTTCGTCACATACGACTCAAGTCAACAACAACCCGTGATGATTCCACTGGCTGAATTCAGCAATAGAACTTCTTTCAAATATTTCATCATGGAAGGTGCATCAATATTTGGTATGAATCAACAATGCCACGTCAGCATCCACGACGTCATTTCGGTAACATTTTGATTATGAGCAATTGCTGGTATTGTTTGTTGTGGTACATTCACATCCTGTTGAGTACAACTTATGAGGAAGGCTCAACAAAGCTCAAGATTACAATGTCGCAGGGATATTGTGCCAAATTCCACGCAAGCGGGTTCTGTTGTAGAGGTCTCGAATTTGTGAAGTTTGTTTTGCTGATTGTTGCAGGTTACGGCGTCGCCGAATTTTTGTGCAGGTTACATGCTGTGAGATCATAAATCCATGGAGAATTAACAGTGTCGAAGTCGCATTTACGAAACGTTTAGCAGTGCTCGCATCATTTCGTAACTGTTTCACAACAACATGACAACTATGCGAGAGCAACAATGCGGTTGGAGATGCGCATCGGTGATATCTTAATTTCGTTTTGCCTCAACAACGGTAGTAGCTCGAAGTTGTCCACCAATAAACTGAAGCTGATGTTCTCGATGCCGGCAAATCATTCATCGACAAACAAATTAGACTCTAAGATTCTGTTTACGGACATTTTCACCGCTTAGATGAACACGTGAAAGTTGGCGCAAATCTGCAGCAGGAGTATTCAAAACTGATGACCGGCTAAGCAGCGGCACACACACCTTAGCAGATCAACGAATTCAACTCATGCTTTTGTATGAATTATCTTCTTGGAGCTTTCAAGCCTACATGCAATGTCCTGATCTCATTTACTGATGGAAAAAACCGTAAGCAGGTTCCATTTAAAAAAGAAAATGGCCAGTCAGTTACAGTCCCTCTTTTCCACAGTCAAGAAAACATTGCTGGAAAGATTACAATAGAACCAATGCAAGGGAAGAAGATTAACCACAATGGCATAAAAGTTGAGCTCCTTGGACAAATAGAGATGTATTTTGACAGAGGGAATTTTTATGACTTTACTTCCCTTGTACGTGAGCTAGATGTTCCTGGAGAAATTTATGAAAGGAAAACATATCCATTTGAATTTTCTACTGTTGAAATGCCATATGAGACATACAATGGGGTGAATGTGAGACTTAGGTATGTCTTGAAAGTGACCATTAATCGTGGTTATGCAGGAAGCATAGTTGAGTACCAGGATTTTGTGGTTCGCAACTATTCTCCACTCCCACAGATTAATAACAACATCAAGATGGAAGTTAGAATAAAAGATTGTCTGCATATTGAATTTGAGTACAACAAAAGCAAGTATCACTTGAAAGATGCTATCATTGGCAAGATATACTTCTTACTTGTCAGAATCAAGATAAAAAAACATGGACCTTGAGATTAGACGCCGAGAACCCACAGGATCAGGGACCAACACCCATGTGGAGACAAAAACATTGGCTAAATTCGAGTTGATGGATGGTGCTCCTGTCAGAGTACACTATATTTTCAACTCACTTTAGCAGCAGATTTGGGGAAGGACTCAACGTGGTTCGCATTTAAACGCGTCACAAGAAAGAATGTCGTAACAACCTCAACAACATCAACTCGGCATTTCAAGTGATACACGAAGAAGCCGACCTTGTTACAAAATTAGCGTCAACCATCGAGGTTAAGTTTTAATTATGAAGATTGACGAATTAACATGGATTCTTATTAATTAATTTTGCTAATTATTTTTTAATTAACTTGATTATTCAGTTTAGTTGGATAATTTTGATAAATTAATTTTTAACTAGCCTAATTAATCGATCAATTGAATTCTATTTATTTAATTTTATTAATCAATTTTAATTAATTTAATTATTTGATTTAATCGAATAATTTGGATAATTAATTCAGATTAATCTAATTAAGAGATTTAATATTTTTCCATTTTGGCTTTGATAAATGAAGTGGGCCAAGACCGAAAGATTTCTAAACTCAGGTCAATGTTATTTGTACACACTTACGTTTGCGTTATTGCATCCCCATTCGATAAAAATGCACCCCTACTCCCCAAAATGTAATAATTTTTATTTATACTTTAATATTTCAAAACCATTTTTTCAAATAGTTTCTCGATTTATCGAGCCATTTTCCACCCTTGTAAGTCGAGTGCTTTCAAAAGTCTCGCCATCAACCTTTTGGTCACATACACAACATTTTAAAGCTTAATCCTGGGCTTCCTTACAGTGACACCTATTTGATCAATTATTTCTAGTTGGTCACTTAGAAGACTAGCCCTCTTTGCTAGTGCACACGTTAAAACTCAATTTCAAACCTTGATTCATATCAAGCAATTTCTTCAAATCAAATTAAAATACTTAATAATTACTCAAAATACAATTTCAATAAAAGATGAAAAAGGGAGAGTTCCAAGTCTTTGGTTCTCTCTCCCAATTGTTTGGGTCCGAGAAGTCTTTCTTAAGCTCGAACAATTGTCTTCTAGAAACCATAAACAAATTCAAATATATTTTCTTAAATACATAGATGAAAAAGAGAGAGCTCTAAGTCTTTGGTTCACTCTCCCGATTATTTAAAATCCAAGAAGTCTTTCTTGAGCTTTGAGTAATCGTCATCCGATTAATACACTTTAATCATACTAAACATCTTTCATAATATTAGATGAGAAAATGAGAGAGTTCCAAGTCTTTGGTTCACTCTTCTGGTTATTTGAGGTCCGAGAAGTCTTTCTTAAGCTTCGATTAATCCTCGTCCTTTAAAATACTTTAACCACATCCTATCGTTCAAAGCTTCCCAAACACAACCACTTAGATGAAAAAGAGAGAGCTCCAAGTCTTTGGTTCACTCTCCTGATTACTTAAAGTCTGAGAAGTCTTTCTTAAGCTTCGAGTAATTGTCATTCGATCCACATACTCGAACCGTACCCACTTTCGTCATATCCTTTCGCATTTGAGGTTGAAAAAGAGAGAGCTCCAAGTCTTTGGTTCACTCTCCCGATTACTTGGGTTCGAGAAGTCTTTCTTAAGCTTCAGGTAATCGTCACCTCTAGCTATTCATCAAACCTCGTTTCCTCGCCCCCATGCGATCGAAACCTTAAAACCTATCAAATTTATCCTCTTTTCTAAACCAAATACTTAACCAATCAAACTCTATTCCTCGCCCTCGTGAGATCCATATTTCAAACACGTCTTTTCCAAAGAACATTGTTTAGTCCATTTTTCCGCGCATAACAAACTCGTGCTTCAGCCTCCCCTAGCGAGCAAACAAGCCAACGTTTAGCAGTTAGAATGTGACCTAAACTCTCGTTCATTCTAAACACAAATCTTTTACCGTAGTTAGCCAAACTACGGCTGCTCTAATCTCTCATATCTGTTGAGAGTACGTAGGCATAGGATTGCGATAATCCTAGCGAGCATAATTCCCAAACCTTTACCTGTAGTCCCACGAACTACGAATGCTCTGATTTTCCACTTCTTACAAGTGAAGATACGTAGGCACAAGGGCCCCAATCCTTGGCGAGCACCCTATATCTTAAAACCACCCTTTCCCCTTTAGCAAGCAAATCCCTTTAGAAGATACACAACATAGTTAACTTTCTCTCGCGAATCGAATCAAGAGGTTCCTGTTGAGTACAACGGATGTAGAGGGCGCTAATACCTTCCCTCTATGTAATCGACTCCCGAACCTAGAATATTGGTTGCGATGACCATGTTCTTATCCCTTTTAAGGTTTTATCGATATTTTCCTATTCCTGCCTTGGAATAAATAAAGTTTGGTGGCGACTCTGTTTCGAACAGTTTTTTCCGCGTCCATCACGAGGATCGTATTTTTCGAGGTACGACAATAACATCACTCTATATCAGATGGATGTTAAAAGTGCCTTCTTAAATGGGATTATAGAAGAGGAAGTTTATGTTCACCAACCTCCTAGTTTTGAAAGTGATAAATTTCCAGAACATATTTTTAAACTTAAGAAATCTCTTTATGGTTTAAAACAAGCTCCCAGAGCTTGGTATGAGAGATTAAGTAATTTTCTTCTGGAGAAAAATTTTATCAGAGGCAAAGTGGACACAACTTTCTTCTGTAAAACATTTAAGAAAGATCTATTAATTTGTCAAATATATGTAGATGATATTATATTTGGATCTACCAATGTTACGCTGGGAAAGGAGTTTGCTCAATGTATGCAGACTGAATTTGAGATGAGCATGATGGGAGAATTGAGATTCTTTCTGGGAATTCAAGTCAACCAGACTTCAGATTGCACTTACATTCATCAGACCAAATATGTAAAAGAGCTTCTGAAGAAGTTCAACATAACTGATAGTAAGTTAGCAAAGACTCCTATGCATCCAACAGGCAATCTTGGTAAGGAAGAGGTAAGTGAGAAAGTAGATCAGAAACTCTACAAAGGTATGATTGGATCTCTTCTCTACTTAACTGCTTCTAGACCTGACATTTTATTCAGTGTATGCTTGTGTGCAAGATTCCAATCAGATCCTAGAGAATCACACTTAACAGCTGTTAAGAGGATTCTAAGGTATCTGAAAGGTACTTCTAATGTGGGTTTGTGTTACAGAAAATCTGATGAATTTAAACTAGTTGGATTTTGTGATACTGATTACGCTGGAGATAGAGTTGAAAGAAAAAGTACTTCTGGAAGTTGTCAATTTCTGGGAAGAAATTTAATCTCCTGGTACAGCAAGAAACAACCTACAATATTGCTCTATCAACTACAGAAGCAGAATATATTGCTGCTGCTGGATGTAGCACGCAGATGCTCTGGATGAAAAGTCAACTAGAAGACTATCAGATCTTTGAGAGTAATATTTCCATATTCTGTGATAATACTTCTGCTATATGCTTATCTAAAAATCCAATTTTACACTCTATAGCTAAGCATATAGAAATTAAACATCACTTCATCAGAGACTATGTTCAGAAGGGTATTATAAATTTGGGCTTTGTTGATACAGATCATCAATGGGCTAATATTTTCACAAAACCACTTGCTGAAGATAGATTTAAGTTTATTCTGAAAAATATTGGTATGGAATTTTGTCCAGAATAATATTTATCAGAAGCAACTTTCTCAGATGCAAAATGTTTAAACTCTGAAGTATTTCATCTGTCATTTATTTAATCTCTTGATTTATTAATTTTGTGTGTATCTGAACTAACAAGTCTCAGAGGATCTGAACGTTGGCTAATGTTTCATTTCTCAAAGAGGTTTCAGAAGCACATGCAAGAAAACACGTGTAACTCAAAATCTGAAAAGATGGAGTGCACAATACTGAAGAGACGTTTGAGGTACTGTTTGAATAGTTGGTTTCTCGTTTTCCCCCCAAATTGCCAGAATCATTAATGTTTTGAAATGATTATATTCTTTTCATTAAATGCTATTAAATGTTAAATGAGAACGTGCTGAATGTGTGACCTTTTGTGTGCCCTAAATTTTCTCTATAAATTCCACAAATCTCAACATTTCACACTTTTCACTCTCACAATCACTTATATGCATTTCTGCTTGTTCTTTTGTCTTCATCTAAACCCTAAACCCAAAACTGTTTGTAACCCTAAACCTCCTTCAATGGCTACTTCATCTTCAACCTCAGCTCAATTCCAATCAACAATGGCAATTGTATCATCTTCAAATCTAGGTGTTGTTCCTTTCAAGGAACCTGTTAGAACGAATCTCACACCTGTTGAGAAACTGGAAGTGTTGTGTGAATCTTTGGTGGATTTTGCTTCTCTGGCTGAAAATGGATTTAACCTGCATTCCATCATTGATGCTCAAGGATGGACAAAGTACTTTGATAGACTGTTTGGGCCAGTTTATCCAGTTTTAGTGAAAGAGTTTTGGATTCATGCTCATGCCTATCCCAAGTTCATTGTGTCATCTGTTCTGGGAAAAGAGATTGTGATTACAGAAGATCTTATAAGGAAACTAATTGGATATGAGGAAATTGATGGAGTTTCTCATCTGATTGGACGTGTCAACATGAACGCTGTTTATGAAGAGGTGATTGCTTATGGAGAACCCTCTAACAAGTTCAAAGATCTGAAACCCAATTACAAGATCTGGGCTAAAATCTTCATGGGTTGCATTCACCACAGAAAGTCTACCAATTCACCTGACTATGTGAACAATGATCAAATTTACTTCATGTATTGCCTCAGTCAGAACACAAAGGTAGATCTGCCTCATATGCTCTTCTCTCATCTTTGGAATCATGTCAAGGCATCTAGAGAAGACATGAAGACAAAACATACAAAGGGTATAAATTAGATCCCTTGTGGAAGGTTGATTTCAGACATTCTGACAGAGAATGGTCTGGTGGAACATCTGCATGTGGCTGGATTGAAAGAGGAACTTACATCCATTCTAGGAAA